GTAGGCGTGGTTATTGTCCGATTTCGCCCATTTTCAATACCATCCGTCCTATGCCCAAAAGAAGTCCACGTACCAAGTTTCGTTACAGATATCCCAATTTTTACTCGAGTTATCGTGTGCACAGACGGACAGACGGACGGACGGACAGACAGTCACCGCTTAATCGATTTCTCTTTTCATTCTGATCATTTATGTATACATTTGTCTATATCTATCTCGATTCGTTTTGCCTGTTACAAACAACCGTTATGTGAACAAAGTTATAATACCCTTGTGCACAAGTGCGCTCGGGTATAAAAATCGAAACACATATGTATACACAGTCCAAAAATGCATGTGAAAAAGTAAAGTCGGAATTTTTATGCTCTCACCCCTAGGATTGTTCTATACCTAAAAAAAATATATCCCTATGTCTTTATTATGAAATCAGATAATATTTAGAGGTCGCTCAAAGCGCCCAAAGCTTTCCGTGTATTTTATATGGGGGAAAAACAACTTTTCGTAGAAACGGTATATAATTCTTAAAAATCAATATTTTTCTATCGGTCTGTCGGAAAACTCGGTTTATCTGCAGGAAATTCCAAATAGTAATACACAATTGTTTATTTAACCATTTTTTCATCGCAACTTTAATTTATAGGTTCGCCAAAAACCCATAAAAACCCCGAAAATGCTATCGGCGGGCGAATAAAAAATCGTTGGTATTAAAAAATGGTTGAATAAACAATTGGGTATTATTATTGAAAGCCTCTTGAAGAGAACCAGAGTTTTCCGATCGAAAAATATTGATTTTCAAGAATTCTATAAGTTGTTTTTTCCCATATAAAAATGCATGGAAAGCTTTGAGCGCTTTGAGCGACCTCTAAATATTTTTTGATTTCAAAATTGTACCAAAAAGGTCTATGTGGGGTCAATGTAATTTTGGTTTCAAATTGTACCAAAAGAGCACAATTGTGGCAACTTTATCATCACTTTGGTTTCGTAGTACCTTTATGTTGTCACACAAAGTGCAGGGGTCCTACAGTTTTACTCCGACTCCGAATGGCGATTGTATTTTGCATGAGAAGCTGTTTTTCATGGCAGAAATTCACTCGGAGGTTTGCCACTGTCTGCTGAGCGGCGACCACTATTCGAAAAACTTTATTTTCTTTTTTATGGTATGCTATGGTCTAGAATCTAGGCCTTGCGGAATGGTAGCCCGCAATGCTAATCACTATACCACACCGGCCACAACTTAACACTTAAAAATTTTTCTAGAAATTCTTATTAAAAAGTCGGAAATTTAGATGAAATTTTGATGTCTTAACATATTGTTTCGTTAAACAACGGTTTTAATGATTTTCAGAGACTTGTAACTAAACTAAAATTGCTTAAAATTTATATAAAACATATAGTTAGCTCAGTTAATCGAGACTTAATTTACGTAACTTAATATTTAGGCCAACTTTTTATAATTATGAAATGATATATTAGCGGTTAGCAAAAACTTAACTAACCGTAAGAAAAGGCCGTAGTTTTTGGATCCTTAAGTTTTTGCCTTATATAAATTTACTGCAGGGACAGAATCAGGCTTCGCATATTTTCGTTTTTGTAGTTCTTAAAATGTACTTATGTTAACTTTTTAACTTTTTTCACACGAAGCAAGTCTGCATGATTAACACATGCATGAAATAACACAAACGGCAATAACGCGAATTTGTTTGCTTTGTTTCATTTCTCGTTCAGCAATAAGAACAACTTTTAAACTTAACAATTGAGTAATAAAGCAAAATAGTGCACATACATATGTAGGTAGTCATCCAGCTACATTTGAAACAAATTGGTACCTGAACAAGTATACAAGTGCCCAGCGTCGCGGCGGTTCGAGTTCGCGCGCCGCCCTGCGCTCCCCTCCCCTCTTTATTATTATTATTATAATTATTATTCTTTTTCCTAAACGGTCATAATGCCAGCAGTGCATAATTATGAAAATAATAAATTGTCACTAGTTCACTTCTGAAACTGCTTTTTAATGTCCAAGTAATGGGAATTATTGCGTATGGTGTTATTTCATGCACCCCACCCATGATGGAATTATACCACGTGAAGTAATATTAGAGTGAGAAGAAATATTTTGACACTACCTTATTTGAAAGCATGCCTATAAAATGTGACTATAACACAGCCGAATGTCAGAAAATAAAGCGAGAAAGCTGTTTTATTACTTCACCTGTTAATTGCGCCATTCAGCGCACCTGCTTGTACCGAGCATACGTTCAAATTTAGAAGTCTGAGAGTAGGTAAAATTTTACATATTTTTACACCACTACTTCGTACCACATGTTTGCTTCGTCCNCAGAAAATAAAGCGAGAAAGCTGTTTTATTACTTCACCTGTTAATTGCGCCATTCAGCGCACCTGCTTGTACCGAGCATACGTTCAAATTTAGAAGTCTGAGAGTAGGTAAAATTTTACATATTTTTACACCACTACTTCGTACCACATGTTTGCTTCGTCCTCGTAAACGAAATCCACATTTCGGATATGGTGAAACCAGTGATGATAATGCAGAAATTTTAACTGAAGATAAAACTCAAAACAATATTCTCTGGCGGAATTATACCAGGTGAAGTAATTAGAGTGAGAAAAAGATTTTGACGCTGCCTTATTTGAAAAATTGCCTTTAAAATTGGACTATAAAGCAGCCGAATGACAGAAAATAAAGTGAGAAAGCGCCATGGTTCCATGCAAACATTTTAAGATTTTCCAGCAATGTTTTCAACATATTAAAAAGCATGCAGATAAAATTCATACAAAAGCGTTATTAAAGACGACTCTTTTCCTATATTTTGTTAGACTTTTCATAAGTAAAAATATTTTGTGAATATTACTTTCTTCATATGAATTATATACATTTTCTTGTTTAATTGTATTTTGGAATAAACAAAGTTCTTATTCCTTCTGTCAGTAAACTGTTTTTGTTACAAATAGTATAAATAAGCAATGGGAAATAAGGCAACATTTGTTTTATTTCCAACCTTTCGTTTTTACCATGCGTCATTTACATGTGCTCCATGTAGTGATTTTTAGAGCATTAATAATTGTCTTAATTTTACTCACTTTAAAATGATAGCACTTTCCACAGAAAATGCATCCGTTGGCAAACCGCATATATTCCACTCGCGTATCTCGACCGGTTCACCTAGACAAACAGCCAGGGAAAAGTCTGCACTGCACACCACACCATAGGATGCAACCTTATTCACCCACTTTTGGATCTGGCCAACTCGATAATCAATAGTGAAGGGACCCAAGTAAGCAACAACACCAGATGCTATCAAAACATCGCCAGTTAACGAGCTGTAAACGCGACCCAAAATTTTCGCTGTTTCCAGCCAACGCGAACGTTCACCACCCAAGCCGGAAATCAATTCTTGAGCACGTTGCAATTTCTTTGTGCAAGCTTCGTGTTGGCTTTGAAGTATACTAAATGCGTAAAATTTTAAAGAAATACTCGGTTGAAATTTTTGTAAGTTTTTTAACTATGAAACTTACGCATATTGAGCCAATTCTTCGTCAAGTTTCTTCTGAATAGCCGCTAGATTAGCTTCGACACGAGCTAATTGCCCCAGCTTCTCATTTAGTAACTTCATTGCTGCCTGCATTCAAAATTATACATTTTTAGAAAATGTTAAGTTTGTGTATGAATATGTATAAACATAAACATAAACATATTTTTATACCCGAGCGCACTTGTGCACAAGGGTATTATAACTTTGTTCACATAACGGTTGTTTGTAACAGGCAAAACGAATCGAGATAGATCCGTCCGTCCGTCCGTCTGTGCACACGATAACTCGAGTAAAAATTAAGGTATCTTAACGAAACTCGGTACGTGTACGGATGGTATTGAAAATGGGCAAAATCGGACAATAACCACGCCTACCTCCCATATAACGGTAATTTTCAGAAATACGAAAACTGCGATATTTTAGTAACTACTGAAGAT